ACTTTTTGCCCTGTTTCTGTTCACCCATGCTGATAGCTTATTCTGTTGGCCAGATGAAATAAAATTGGTTTTTATACCAGATGTAGCACAGTTTTGGTTTGTATTACGCAGGTGTTCCCCCAGCTGGGGAAGTATGGAAACTTGCCATCTTGCTGAGATGATGGCTTGGTTTAGAAATGTGAGGGCGTTAAAAATAATTCTACATGTTAACAGTGGCTTTTGTCCCTGGTGGGCTCCATATGCCTAGCATCTGACCAGAGCAGCAGCTGTTCTATATTTTAATAGGAGAGTTATAAAGTTAGAAACATGTATGACCACTCCAAATATAAGCAACTGCTTGCAGTCATGGAAACAGGATTCAACAATAAACTCTTATTTGTGAGGTCTCCAAAAAAAATAATCCCAGTACACTATGTTCAGGTGGTATAGAAAAAGTGAATGAACGTGGCTTTCTATTTCTATTTATGTCTATTTCCATAAGCCTTGTTTACTCAAAATTCTACTTTTTTCTTTCCTATTTTTTTTCTTTTTCTGAGAAGACATTAAACTTTTTATATAATCCCATTTTAGCACTGTGCTTACAAAGGTGACTATAAAGTCTTTCTGAAAAATATTTATAGCTCATTCAGTATAGCTATGTGTTTCAGGAAGAAGTAACCTAAATGAAAACATTTCCTGTCAGTATTGGATTGCTCAAGGTATTGTTAGCTCCTTTGATGCAAGCAACCAAAATTTGGAATTCTGTAGGTTGTTTCAGTCAAGTGGAGGAATTAGGAATGGAGTCAGATGCCGATCTGTTTATTTACAGTGAATGAATGTTCATTTACCTGAATACAGGAAAAATCAAACCTGAGTGTTTCTTTATTTTCAGCACCAGTGCCAGCTGTGAATTCTCTCAAAGCTTTTTCTTTGGGTCTTGTTACCAGATTTCTACCAGCTGCACTCTGTGCTAGAGCTTCCTTGTCACTGTTTCCATCTTGATTTTTCTCTTACATGAACATGCACAAGCCTGTAGGCCTTGCTGGAGCATGGGTTGGGGCAGCCACTGACAAGTGCACATAGAAATTACATGGAGGCCTGTTAGCAGCATGAACCAAAGTATGCCTCACTAATAGCACAGGGTGCTACGGGGCTGGGCTGGGGCTGTACTCTGTGTCCCAGGCTGGTATAGGGACAGAGACTGCTGACACCAAAGCAAGGAAAATGGGGGGTGGGGTGGGGTGGGGCACGGGAGTCCAAAGTGGCACAGGAGGTTAGGAGGCGAAGGTGGGGAACCTTAGGCTGCAGGGGGCAGGGGTGGAGGGGGCGATGCACCAGTGGGGAGGCAGCAGATGTGGCTCTGGCCCCAATCCAGGCTCAGGGCCAGAACCAGAACTGCCTGCTGTGCCACCAACCTGTACTTAATTCCCAGATGAGGGACTTTACCCCTGTGTTAATGGGAGGCAAAACCCCCAAAGCTTGGTATCAAGTAAATATAGTAAACAGCTTGGAGGCTGTTTAAGTTGCATGGGGGTCTACACTGGCTACCTGTCAGTCATAGGACTGGGAGACTGTGAAGATATCTTAAATCACTCTAATCACCTTTGGTTTTGCATCTTGTACAGTTTTGACAGATGGGAGAACCTACACTAATATGAATAATAATCTTCATTTAAACTTAGGGAGTAAAATGGCATTTTTCAGAGGATGATGCCTGGAAACTTGCCAAGTTCAAAAGGTTAGGATCAAGGTCTGGGCTAGTGGTGATGGACATCAGTAAGTGAGTGCTGGAAATGTCAGGTGTCTCACTAGCCATATCTGGGATAGAACTATGGACTGGGATAATGTTAGTGTTGACAACAAAGAGGTATATGGTAGAATGTATGCTGTTTGCTGGCGATGGGAAAATTGTTGTTGGTTGGGGGGTAATTTCTTAGAAGTTAGATAAGATCAGGAGGGTCAGCAGAGGTAGCAGGGGCAAGTGGGGAAAGTAGTGGAGAAAGGAAGAAGGTTATATCTGAGTCTAGACAGGGCTGAAAGTAGGAGTGGGCAGCAGAGAATGTGTGGGAAAAGGCATTCAGGAGATACTATGTTTACCCAAATCCAAGATGACCCTGAATTTAAGACGACCCCCCCCCATAATTCGAATATAAACGCCTTAGTTTGTCCATAAGGCTTTATTTGCACTCTGATTGGTTGTCTCAGCACAAAGACACACAGCAGAGCGGCGCCATGACAGCAGGGACTGAGGGACCCAAGTGGGGGGGGGCAGTTGAGGCCAGCAGTACTGGCCTTGCTCCCTCTGGCCCTGTTCCTTGGAGTCAGGGGCCAGAGCAGCCCCCCACCCCAACAATAGCTGGCAGGGAGGGGGAGAGAGAGGTGGCAGTGAAGAGAGGAGGAAGGGAGAGAGGGAGGGAGGGGAGTGGGAAGGGGAGGAGGGGGGTTGCTGGCGACAGTGCCCCATTGCTGGCTGCTGTGGCCATGGCCA